TGCAGAGACCTCAAATTCCTGTGCAAGTGTGGTCAGAGCAGGTTTTTTGTACCTCACCTGACTTGCAGATAGGGGCAGAGCACCCATGTTTCAGAGATGTTATGAGTGCTACCTGTATATACAGCTCTATTATACAGGTCAGCATCTATACAGATCTGTATAAACATGCTTCCAGTGAAGTAATCTACAGTGGAAGGTTCGAGGAATCTATACGCATCCTTCACTTCCTTAAAATACACATTAAAAACTCCACCGCTGTAACACTGCAGTGAAAGACAATTCCCTGTGAACTACATTCTACCTCCTCAAAAAGCAAGGATGTGGTTCATTAGGTATAACTAAATAATTACAACAGGCAAAAGCAGAAGGCTTCAGCACAACTTCCTTCATCGTTGGGAAGAAATCAATGATCTTTTTCAGATTCCTGTCCTCTCAACTTATTACTGTTATGTTCAGTACTGAAAGTTGACATGCCATTTAATCTAGAGAATGCCAATTAGCTTCCTTGACCTCCTTTTTACTAGGACGCAACACATCAGTTTAGAAAGCTTTCTTATTGTGTACCTCCAGCTGAAGTACCAGCAGTGCCGCTACTGGGAAGACTAGAAGTTGTCTCTGGTGCTGCAGAGGGCTGGCTGTTGGAGACATTTGGAGCTGCATCAGAGGCCTGCTCTGAGGTAGATGTACTAGCACTGTTACTGGAAGCAGAACTCACGACCTGCGGCTCCACTCTAGCTGACGTGGTTGGCACAACTGTTGGCTCTAGCAAAACAAAAAAGTTTTTATGTTCTTTAAGCTTTAAAGGCTGATGCATTTTTTTATTGTTGTTGCTGGGTTTTAATTATTTTTAAATTATTTTACAATAAATTCTTGATTCTGGTCTTGCCAGGTGCTAAGAAAGTCATAAGACAAAAGCCTGACAGGTACAAAATACAAGTTAATTCTGTTTCATTCACGTCTGAGCCTTGGTGGTAAGGGGAATTTTAAATTTTTTTTTAATAAACTCAAATTTTAAGAATTAATATAAAATCAATTCCCAACCAGATTGGATATATCAAGTTTTATTTACTGAATAAAATACTACTAAAAAGTAAATTAAATTACTTTGGTACTTCATGATGAAAACACTTGCTGAAATCTTTCAAAAATCCACAGGCAAAGTACTTCATGATTAATTATTACTCCTACCATTTTTTTGATGCCTACAAAGTGCAGAAAAACTTTTAGATAACTAAGAACAGAATAATAAGATCTAAACTAGCAGTACTACTTTATAAACTTTGGTCAGTCTAGATGCATAGTACCACAGGCTATAGCAAGATAAACTTGGTTGCTAGTCTCAATATACATTAAAAGCAGATTAATTAATATTTGAGACTTCTGCTAAAAGTACATACATGTTTATTTTGCATATTTTGAAGGTAATAGTCAGCAGTATATTTAATTGGATCCAGGGAAATGCACCAAACACTTGATTAATCTTGTTCTCTACCACACATTTGTAAACAAGTTAAAATTAAAAAAAGATACTTGGTAGCATAATTCAAATTTAGTTTTGAAAAAGTCTGCCTTTGAGTGCAAGTTTGAAATTTCTCTCTAATCACTGACAAGGCAATGACATGACCGCAAATACAAGATACCATAAAGGGAGTATCATCAATAGCTCAGGTGTTTTTAGTAAAAATATCTGCATGGATACTGGGGGGAAGAGGGGGGGGAACGCATCAAGACACTTCAAATACTTCTCTTACACAAACTCTCAAAATAAAATATGACTTTTTCAATATTTCTCTCTATATCTAGTAGGTATATGAGCAACTCAGCAAGCAAGGGAATAAATGTATCTCCCTTCTTTCAATTCTTCCAATTCAACACATAAAAAAACCATGACGTGATACCTACATTGAAATTCCTCTGGATTTTAACATGGCATTCCAATATACTAATTTTATTTAAGGAAAACATTCTGGGAGAAATGTATTAATGTTTATATTCAGAAAAAACAGCAAGTATATAGGGCACATATAACCTAATATTGGTATGTGATCACACAGTGCTCAAGACTGGGTACTAAAACATTCTGAAAGCAATCCTGCAGTCAAGATAATTCTCAATTCTATCAGCTTCAATCACCCTGCTAGCCTGATACTGTTTTGACTCATCATCAGCAATACAGACAGTTCTGTTTCTCCCCCACCAAAACCAATAAAAGCCAGTGGGCTTGGTCAATCTCAAACTACTAGCCAAGAGAAACTTAAATTTCAACACACTTCATGGACATTAATCCAGGAAGATAGATGGAGATACAATCCTTATGATCAAGGAAGTAGCTAGCAAAATTTTAAGACTAGTATCTTGAATGACATCGGTAAAGTTATAATGTGTGTAGCTGCCCTGTACCAATGTTAATTCAGAATTTTTATCATTTTACACTGGTTCATGTGTGAAATTGGATGCCTAAATCAAAAAACAATATCCCTGTAATCCTGGAAAACTCATTTTAGAAAGGTATTTCCTCTGGGGTGTGGGTGAGGGAAGAAACAGCTAGTCTTAAATACACACATTACAGAAGTAAAATTTCATTCAGCAATAATCTTTTTTTAAAAATAATTTGGTTCCTGAATTTAAGACTAAGTTTTATAATTTGAGTTTAAAGAGCTAATTAAAGCAACAGATACCTATTCCCCTTCAATGATAGAGCTCTTTGGATATTTCACAGAAAAGAATCTATAAATCAACCCATTCTTGTCCTTAAAAACCAGCAAACAACCAAACCCAATACCAAACCCTTCTAACGCTCCAGTCCACCCCCAAAATGAATATAACTTGAAGAATAAGATATTGCAAGAAACTAGCTTGTGATGCAGACATGGAGGGAACCACAACAAAACTTCTGTTGAACGTTAAAAGTAACATGCACCCAAGAAATTCCCTAAACCATCACCACAAAATAAAAAAACCCCTGCAAAATAGTACGTTGAGCTTTAGTTTTTCTTTCTCTCAGCTTTTGACAATATCTGGAAATGGCTGTTAGGATTTTCAGCAGAAATAGACTTACTAAGTGCCAGTAGGTTTTAATGTAGGAAACAATGAAAGGTTACTGCTTCAGAAGCCTAACATACTTCACTAGTTTGGATGTTTTTGGTTTTGTTTGCATTGGGGTTTTTTTGTTGTAGGTTTTTTTGTTTTGGTTTGGTTTTTTTGTTTGGGAGTTTTTAAAATTATTTTTTACTCCAAGATCTGAAAGAACAATAATGATTCCAAAGCACAGGCAGCAAGAGATTTTCCTTTTATAGTATTGAAGTGCGTGCATATTTTTAAAGAAGTAGTTCCAACCTGTTCTGTAATTTCTGCCTGGTGAGTCAGCCCTCAGACACACACCCAAGTTAGTTTTGGAAGAAAAATTAAATCTACTTAGATCCACTGGGAATGGCTCAACTTTACACTTTAAAAGGAAGGCTGCAAGAGGATTTTCTGACAGGCTTGGAAAATAGTTTGTTTAGAATTGAGACTTTTTCACAGAACAGTATGTTATAACTGATGCAATTAATTCCACTTCCCTTACACTGATCATCTTGCTTCTGTAAAAGGACGAGATTTCTCAGACCAATGCAACTTACCATCTTCATCCACTGTAAGGTCCACCACTTCTGCTGCGTTCTGTCTCAGTGGCTGTATGACTGTGGAAATCCTACTGCGGTTCCGCTGTTCTTGAGGTCGTGCAGCATGAGAACTAGAGCTTTGTCCCCAGTGTGATCTGGTGTGTCCAAGTGTTGAACGAGACCTTAAAAAAAGTAACACCTTAAGTATTAACCTGAATTCTGCCATTATTAACTTTTTCTCCTCACTGTTTGAGGAGTTATTTGAAGTATTTTTATTATTAGAAAGGCTTTTTGTCATGTTGAAATACCCCACTACTCTACATTATTCCACACTAAGATGTGTACTTACAAACATTACTGCAGCCTTTACCAGATAACAATGTCAAATAACCAACAGGTAAAGTTTAAAGGTCTTTAAACCATGCTCCTATGAAATACATACAGGTAACTTATTAAAAATTCACTGTAAAACCCTACAGCTGCAGTCAGGCAGCAATTATAGCTGATGTTATGTTTTAACTTTGTTAATAGTAAATTAAGAGTTTCCAAATCTTTTACTATTCCTATGATGACAGAATTGTCAAGACAATAAAATTTGTAAACTTTAAGTTCTTTTGCATGTTAAACTGTGACAGAGTATTTTCAGAGGAAAATTTATTTAATTTAAATTTCAAAAATGTCCTAAAAGTGCAAAATCTCTGTACTTTTTCTCTTGAATATTATTTCCCCCTCGTCTCCTGTAAGAATGAGCACAGCTTTCTGTAACACTTAAACAAACTTAAATGAAATGTGGCTTGAGGAGAGGAAATCATACACCTGTAACTATAGCTAAGGCAAGGGGTGGGTTTCTGTCTGTAATATAACACTTAACACCCATTCTATTCAATTCAGCCATACAAACCCAAACACTCAAATCAACGATGCTTTGGAGTCTAGGTTATGAGGATCTTTAATTAAAGGAAGAATATTTTTACAGTATGGTATTTACCAGTTCACTCTCAAAAACCTTTGACTGTCCAGTATTTACATAAACCAAGTGGCTCGTATTTTCCAATTTGGAAAAACAATGTACTCGGACTTCAGAAATTCAGAAGAGGGAAATGCAAAGAAATGGCAATGACTTCACTAAAAACAAACAAAACCCACTGTACAAATCACCATTGGAGCTCAGTCCACATTTCTGTTCTGCCTGTACTCCCTTCACCCCTACCTGTGTAACCCACTAACAAACACCAATGTATTTTCTGGTAGTGCAAAAAGCATGCTTGCTGCAGTCTTAACTGGCTTACACTTCAATCCCACTTCAGTAGTCATCGTAATTTATAGATCAGGTTGGTTCAAAAAGGCACATTTTCTTTAAAGTTTGGATTTACATAATGTCCAAATTGATTCGTGACCTTCCAAAAAACCCTTTTAAAAACTTTACTATTACTCTCTGGTGGCCCAAGATGCACTTTGGTAATACAAGGAGAGGTTAAGGTCTCACCTCCTACTTCATCTTCCCCTCCTCTTCAGTTAACTTAGTTAAGGTTTGGTTGTGAAGGGGAGGAGAAATTAGCTGTGGAAGGGTATGCAGGATTGGCAATGTTTAACTACTCTTACAGGAACTCCAACTTCATATCAAAACCAGTACAGTACCTACTACATCCATATTTCTTGTTTTTCAATGCAAGCTGTAAATTCAGCAATTAGAAATTTATTTGGATTTCTTCTTGCACAAAAGCAGACAACATGACAAAGCATCAAACTGGAGTTGAAGAGAAATAAGGCCTAGCATACAACCACACACTGAGCTAATAATCTTCAAGAGTTTTTGAATCAGGTATGATTTCAAGCAAAGATGAAGATAGAACCAAAGGACTACTGAATTGAAACAGTCTTAAAGTTAGAGGTCTGGGTCTTTATTTCCTTGTTATGATTAGGACATATTCTGAATGCCTAATTAATATATTAGCTATATGGTGCTGTGTATATTCAGTTTGTGGCTGAGTCCATGTAATTTCAAAACAACCAGGTTAGTCCATCTCTGAAGTATGTATGACCAAATTGTTTAGTCCACTTAATGCTAAGATGACTCTCAAGCAGAGCTTAATAGCTTTTTCTTAATCAGAAAAGGACCGTCAGTGAAGGCTTCATAGCATTTTCGTAGACACGGTCTATCTCATCCACCTAGCTATGATTCCAGCTGCTACACTGCTTCTTGAGGCTGCAGTTTATTTTACATCAAAGATTTACTTTCTCTGTGCTTTGGAAGTGGCCCAATCTTGATGGAGAAGGGAGGAGGAAGGAATAATCATCAGTACGTAATAATTCCTTGATGGAATATGACACACTTGGCAAAATGAAGAACACTGAGGAAGAAACTAAACATGGAATTGTGTAGGTAATTTTCTCAGACCTGAGACTGTGTGCAACATAAGAAAGGGTAACAAATTTCTACATGCATGTGACCAAGTGAGGATTCAATGTGCTACCAACTGCATCTCGCCAGTGACCACTCAGAAAAAAAGTAGAAGAATGACAGCATCTTGATTTCACAAAGCAATTAAAAATCAGATAAATAATTAACCAGCTATAGTAACAAAAGAACCAACAAAGGGATGTAGTCATGAAGGTTTTGGGTAATTTCTTGGTTAAATTATGAGTAAGATTTTTGGATCTCCAGTTCTTAGTTGTTGTGGGATAAATTCAAAGAAACTGCAGCTTAATAATTCCCACTGAAAGTGTTTTTCTAGAAACAAATTATTTTCACTGGGTTTAGTAAATTTCAGAATAGTTTCTTCAGGAGTGAATGAAAGTTAGGAAGTATTTTTCATGAGTACTCTCCTCCTTACTTCTAGAAGAGCAAAATGAATGGCTATCCACTGGACAATTTTACATTGATGCTACTGATAAAGTATACTACGTGTGGTTTAAGATCAAGCACTATGTATTCACTGCTGAGGAATGGTGTCCCATTACTGCCTTTTCCAGAGTCCACTGCCAGTTTCATCAGAGGCTAAAGCATTAACTTGATCTAGCTCAAGTCTTTTCAAGCATACATGTTGTTTCATAAGTTTTAATGACTTTTCTCAAATACATTTATGTGGATAAATCACTATTTCTAGAAACGTATTCCTAATTACATCAAGACAGAGCATCTGTTGACTCAGTAGCTTTTTTTTTTTTTTTTTAAACAGAAGGAAATAGTTAGAAACATACTGTTGAAGAAATTAATTTTTTCAATGTCGATTCATCTCATCTCTCCCCAATTCATCTTTGTTATATAGATCTCGGTCACATATTTTTGTGAATATGACATCCTTTGTGTGTCAGAGTGTAATAAAGAAGTTAGTTAGTTACAAGTGTCCGTGAAATCTACATTATCCACATATTTGTACCAAACATAAAAGTGGTTTGTTCAGTGTGATATTTATTCCAATAAAGGTGATTTTTTGCAGGAAAATTTGTCTGTTATTTTAAATTTGAAATTGAATTAGTGAAAGCTCTGTCTGACAATAAACAGATGGAATGGTTTTGTAATTTACTGCCTATTGTTCCTTTGTCATTATTTTACAAAAAATATCATATTCTACAATTTTTTCTTCATGTTCACAAATATGAAAACATACGTAATAGGCCGGCATCTCCAACAGTCCCATGCACATGATAGTTTCAAGTTTTCTTCTTCAAGGAACTCCGCTTTAATAGATTCTGCAAAATCTGACAAATATGGAACAAAACTTCCAGAGAGGCATAGAACAACAGGAAAGAATACACAGGAGCAGCTTCAAAAAAGTAGGATGCTTTCCTGAGAAATGCTCAGCTAATCCCTAGATAGTCAACTGAGCCTAAACTTGCTCTCTCTAAGATCCCATTGTACAGCTTTGCTTCTCCAAAATTCTGCCCATCAGTTACACTAACTACAACCACCTGAACAATTCCAGATCAGTTGAATTGTTAAGCTTTGGCAAAGCTGTGGTTTGGAGTTTTTTTGTTTGTTTCTTTGTTAGGGGTTTGTTTGGTTTGGTTTTTGTTTGGTTTGTTTTTTTTTTGTTTTGTTGTTGTTGTTTGAGTTGGGGGGGGAGTTGTTGTTGTGGTTGGTTTGTTTGTTTAAATAAAAATGTATATATGTATCCTGGACAGAATATCTGTGACATTACCTTACAGACTTTTAATGATAGAGTCTTGTGACAAACTTGGAGTCAAGCAAAATTGTATTAATACAAGAGATACAAGTCCCACCTGTAGCTTTCGCCAACCGTGACAATCTCCACTTCACTATCTGTTGAGGTAACATTTATTTCTTCATTAGCAGTGACCTGGGGAGTGGAGGATGCCTCAATCACCACAACATCTTCATCAATACTTCCTGATGAGGGAAAAGAAGAAAAAAGTTTGTATACTTCATCTATCTCAGGAATGGTCACTATTTTTTTCCTAGACTTAAAATATAGGTAAGTAAAGAATTCCACGGTATATGACAAAACTTGAGCTGCAACTGTCAAATACATGACCTAATTATTAAAGGCATTAATTCTTCTGTAAGTATTTAAGTAAAAGAAGGAAGGAGTCAGAAGATGGGAAGATGAGGGGGTACATATGCAAGCTTTCCTTCTACTGTGTATTGGAAGCAATTGCAGTGAATTTTATCAGCTGTAACACCAAGGAAACTCAGCCGTTTGATATAAAACAAAACGACCTTTCCAACTAGCAAAGCAGTGGTGGCTTGTTATCATTAATAGCTTTATTTTTAAATGTTTTTGTAGGTATTAAAGTCTCAAGGCTAAACAGTGGCAACAGGAGAGGAATGATGCACCAACTAATACGTTTTTTATTTTTACAACAAAATGAAGACCACAAATCCATTGGCATTTATAAATATCTTTACAACTACGCTTTCAGTGGCATTCACAATCATATACTAGACAAAGGATGTTAAAATGAAACTATCAGTGGTAAAAAACAACAACTAAAACCCCACAAAATAAATTCAGAGACAAATCTTGACAGGAAACAATTTCTACTTCAGGAAGAGTGATTAAAATTCCAGCCTAATACCCAGACACATGGAAACACTTTTCTACAGCTGTAATACTGACAGTGACAAGTTTGAGTCATCTAGAATACTTAAATTGAGCTATGGATTATTTACTCTAGTGAATACCACCAAGCACAAAAGAATCTACTAAACAAATGGGCTAGATACCTTAGAAAGAGCAAACTACCATTTTGAGATGTGCAAATTTCTTCAAGAAAAATCCTCAAAGAATTTGGTCTCATTCAAGTCAATACTCACATCCTGTATGGACTTACTGTTCTCAGTTGCTCTACCCAATGACAAGGCATGACAGATTATTTCCCCCCAACCAAGTATCAACATTTTTGTATTGTGAAAAATAAGTTTCACTACTTATTTCCCAATGGCTTTTGTTTGTTTCTGGTCATACTTATCCCAGAGAGACTGGTGCCTGAAGATGGAAAGAGCGATGCTTTCAGATACTGGTATTCACCAAATTCTCACAATTGGAAGTTATATGTGACAGAGTTAATTCTCAGAACATGCATGAAAATTTTGGAAAAAAACTGAAAGTGTTACATTGTCTAAAAAACAAAGTCACATGCTAAAACTGAAAACAGAGAGAGGTCAATTACTTGATGTGAAACAAAGACAGCTAAATTCATCACCACATTCTTTGATGTCTTTCAAATCATGGGCAAATAAGCACCACCTTCCTTCCACAAAACTGCCTTAGCTGCTTCTCAGACAAAACCAGCAAGCCAAGCAGCTGGTGAAAGGTCAGTTAGAAAAAAAAAAACAAAACCTAACAACTATTTTTCCCCTATCTCTGTGCTTCTAAACATGCACTTCTCCGAATTACAGTAAGTTTGAGAGCAATCCTGGGAGTCCACATGTCCTCAGGCTCAATAAATATTGACACTTATGACAGGTGCAAAAGCAGGAAGATTTAGGTTTAAGTATGATCTCACTACTTTTGAAAATAAACAGCACCTCCTTGAGGACAAAATCATATGCCATGTAATTCCAACGTCCACCTCTACCCATAAATTCTGGCACAAGCTTATCTCATGAAAAGCAAAGGGAATTCTCAACTGAGTACCTACACAATGTCATGGTTCATTTTACGTAATCCTTTTTTTAAGCAATTATTTAGTCAAGATGTGGATGTGATTTTACAGACTACACAAAAGTCAGACTGTAGAAACCATCAGGACTGTTAGTGAACGAACAGGTTTTATGACTTCCAAAATAATAAAGAAAATTTTTAGGAAAATAGTCAAAGTTGCTGTAGGCAGAACATAGCGAGCATAGACATAGCTCAACCGTATGCCATTTCTTACAGCTCGTGCTTTCTAATAGCACCCTCCCAAGTAAAAAAAGCAAACTGATTGTGTTTTCATCCCATGAAGTGCCTTCCTATACAAGGACCCAATAATACACACTTTCGTCAAAATGAAGCAGAAAAACAACTTCTCTAAACTATGTAAAAATTTGTAAGACATTTAGTAAGATTATATTGCTAGGAAAAAACTATGCATATAAGTTATGATCATATACAATTCCGTACCCCCTTTTAAATAAAAAGAGCTTTCAAATGAGTTCCATTAGAAGCACACCAAGGGAAAAAGTTCACATGTATATGAACTCTGCTTATTTTAAAAACATTGCAGTAGTTTGGAGAACAGTACATACAAATGAGACAATCAGCCAATAAAAACTTGTTTCATTGCATTTATCTGAACAATTAAAAGGCAAGCTGAATAGCAAAGCTTCAGTAACATAAGCAACACTGAAGCAATGTTCATAATCCTCAAGCAGCTCTTCCATAGTCAGACACTAGCCATACAGCTGGTAGTACTAAGTGGTATGAAAACCTGATCTTTCATTGTCAACAGGATTTACCGTTTCTTCTTTGCCTCTCCTCATACTTTACTACAAGGAAGAGAACATAGTTGTTGAAACATCATTAACCGGTAACGAGTGGTGTCCCTCAAGGTTC